AAAGAATACGTGGGGGGGGGGTGGGGGGGGAAATATACTTCAGATCTGGTAATGCTTCCACAGAAGAATTTATCCAGATCATTTCTTTTAACAATGCATTAATGCTTGACAAAGATGACAGTTAAATAAATTGATTTGTTAGAAAAACTGTAGATCTCAAATATTAAATCAAATATCTAGTAGACTTACCAGCCTTACAACTTCTCCACATTAGAAAATTCAGTCAGTTGAGAATGGCTTCAAAGACTCTTTAAACTGTGTTAGATGCTCGTTTAAAACTGACTAAACTTCAAATTAATTTTTCCTGAAATTTCCTATCCTGAACTACCTTTAAGTTTATAAATCAAAAGTGCCACCTGGACAAACAAGTGTAAGTTTACAAGGGCTTCCATAATACAGCAAGATCTACCAAACAATTAGTAGCAACACAGAAATATTCTTCAATATAATGAGTAACTTGCCTTAAATTCTTCTTAGGAATTGTTTTATAATGATTTTAAAACTTATAGTCCAAGTACTGAACATTAAAACAATTTGCAAACAGCTGTATAATTAATCTTGTGTTCAATTACATCATGAAAGTGGTTATGTCCATCTTTGTTTATTTTCCTACCCTAAAACTGATACTAACCAGGGAACAACTATGAGGAAGCAGACATTGGCATCATGCTGAGTTGGTTTAATTTTAAATGGCATATTAGAAAAACAAATCAGCATGCTGTAATGACTAAAGCAGATGTCAGAGTTAAAAGGGGGCACTACAGTTATTATAAAAACCCAAGCTTAAAATCATTATGGCCCTCCACTGAAGTCAATTCCATGCTTTCCTTAGGATTACAAGTGCTTCAACCCTCTACCTAGCAGCAAAAGCTCAACCTGTCTTCTAGCTATAAAATATCCATCTGTTCCCAATCTTTACAAGGGACCAGATCCAATAAACCAACTGCTTCAGTGCAGTCTTGACATAAAAACAAAGTTTAGCGATTCTTTAAGTAAGCGTGGCAAGTTAATATCAGAGAAGAAACAAATCAGCGAACACAGAGAAGCCTGCACAAATTTAAGTATTCTCCCAGGCTCCTATATACAATAAAAAGTTCTTGAAAATTAAAGTTACTTACCACTTGGATGCAGTTGCAATGGTCACAGTAAAGTCAAACACCATAAGCACTGCAAATGCCATGGGAAGACTGCATTCAGGTAGAAACTAAAAACCCTGGTAGAAAGATCTGGCATTTAATAAGTGTGACAAACAGTAGCTAGTTCCCCGATATCTTACCTTGCATTTCTGTGCTTTGGCATGGTAAAGCACATCCTGATAATGCCTCGCATTTGTTGGTTTCACATCTTGCAGTTTGGCTGTAGGCAGCAGCAATGTTTCTACAGTTTTCTCAGGATCCCCCTGATCAATAGCTTCGTTAATGTGGCCAACTGCAACAATTCCTAAGAAAGGGAACGTGTTAGTATTTAAAAATGCACTAAATCTCGCACCAAGTTCAATCAAAAAAAGACTGGTGCCATAAAGAGGTTTAAACCCCAATATAGTAATTTTAACTTAAGTTATCCCAAACAGAGAACAAGTGACAAATAGTAAGCAAGGATTTTTTCCTGCTCCCACAACTAAGTATTTAACTAAAGCTAACTTGTTTTAAGATATCAGATTTAATTCTCTCTCAAAAAAGGATAAAAAGAGACTTCTTTCATTTTGTTCCAAAACAAGATGACCAAAACACATTGTTCAAAAGTAAGAAAAAAAAAAATTCCAGAATAAATACCTTCCCTAAAAGGACTCAGAATTTTTTATATCAGACTATTCAAAATAGTTTTCAGCACATTCATTTTCTCAAACAAGCATATACATGTACATATTACATTTCAGGCCACCAAGTTAGAGAAATCTAACCTGAATATACTCAAGGAGTATTAGGTGAAATTTATATAAAAACAGTATCTTCAAACACTCTCTCTATTTCACCTAATTCTCCCCGAGTATATTCAGGTTAGGTTTTTTTTTTAAAACTCGGTGGCCTGGAAAAAAAACCAAAAAAAACAAGCAAACAAAAAAAAAAACCCCCAAAAACAAAAAAACCCAAAACACACCACACCCTGAATCTCAGAACTGCTGAGCAGCTACAACTCCCAGTGAAGACAATGGGGAAAACAGGGTGTCCAGCAGGTCTCAAAGGCACACAACTTTAAAGGGCTGCAATTAAGTTTTGACCCTAGTTTTTTGTTTTAAAAAGAAGAGCTGAAGCATGGCAGAGTGATTTTCATAGGATTTTTGCTATACCAGTCTTGCAAATAAAAACATGGATCCCTGCAGTTTGCCATCACCTGTGACAGAGTGCATTCCAGTTGATGGTTGCCTGGGATCTGTTGATTTTTTTCCTCAGGTGTATATACATTCATTTAACTGGTGAGGTCACAGTCCTATGACCTCACAAGGGCTCTTAGGGGGCTAGGAGGAGTGTTACAGTTGTATTTAAACCATTATAAAAGGCACTTAAAATGGGAGCATTTACCCACTAAAGGGTGTTATATCCCATGCTAAGTATCTTCTAAACATTTTGAAGATAAGCCAATTGAAGTGAAGGTTAGCTTTGATCAGTCTTATCCAGGTCATTGTTAGGACAGCTCCAGGGATGTAATAAAAAAAGAAGCTTAATTTGCAGTCCTCCAGATTCCCAGAATGCACAGCTTCCAGCCTGTCTACCCATTTCCACCCTCCAAACCTCTATTCTTCTCCCTACCTCCCCTTCCCTCCACACCGAGTGCAGTCACTTTGAGCAGCTTAAGGTCCCTGCCAGACATACAGGTAAAAGCAAAATGGGATCTGATGTGCAATTCACAGAACTGCACTTCCCAGCATACCACATGTTCATGGCAGGGGACATAACTGTCAGATTGAACATCAGATCCCATCACTCCTTACTGCCAGAGCAATCTCCCAGCTCCAGCCTGACAGGGCTCCCAGGCACAGGGGTGGCACCATATACCCCCAAGGCTGGGAGCCTAGATCAGCTGCAGGATTCCAGCCTCGGGGCACATCTGGCCACATGTTGAATGTGTTGTTATTCCACAACACATTTGTTGTGGAATAACTTTGGCTTATTCCTTGTTTTATGAGGCCCATCAAATGTTTTAATGTGTGGCTAGATTACAATTTAGGATGTGATTAACTGTTTAATCATGTCTTAAGCATTGTGTGTGGCAGGGGCCTAACTGCAATAAGATCATAGAGCTCAGGGAAGCGTGTTTCCCCCAGCTCCATGGCTTCATTATCTGGAGGCTCTACACTGAGCAGATCTGACAGGGTCTCAGCTAGTGCAGGGAAGACCATGGCTCTAGCCACCCAGCAACTCCACTCTCAGCATGCAGCCACTGCATTAATTGTAGCAAGATCAGGGATTCCAGGGAGCAGAGGGTAGAATGGCTCCTTGGCCTCCAGGGTTTGAAATCCCGGGGGGGGGGGGGCGGAAAGCAATGAGCCCCTGTATAAAAGATGAGATCCCCCAACCTGCCCCACACCTTTTTAAGAAGCTCAGGCAGTGGCATCTCCTTCTGACTTCTGGCTGCCACCACCACAGACCCTGCCATGAGTCAGAGTGTAATTCAAACCTTGCTGGTCTTGTCACACAGTGGTTCCATATGGAGCACAGAGCTGCCAGGGGTTCACCCTCAGCAAGGAGCCACTGGATTAAGTGATCTAACCTGGTGATTCTCAACCAGTGCCATGGCCCTATCAGAGTAGAATGCTTTTTTGAGTTGATTGCAACAGAAGAATTGCTCTATTATTTTTCTACAGTAGGAACACAAAAGTGAAAAACTAAGAGCTGGCATTTACTGAGGGGTGCCTCAAATCTATTGAGGGCTGCCTCAGGTAGCACCTTGTCAAGGGTATTTAAATGCATCTAGTTCACAGGATGCTAGGGAGGGAAGAGAAGCAGCTGCAGGAAAGGCATAGCCAGGTGCTGCCCAGACAGAGTAAGGATAGCCCAGACAGATAGCGAGCACCTACCAAAGCCATACTTAAACTTATGTGGAATTCATCATCCATGTATTTCAAAGTACTTTGCAAAGGAAGCTCAAAATCATCTCACATTGGGAAACAGGCTGAGGCTTCCCAACACCACAGAGTCCTTCCAGGGCCAGAGCAAGCTCTCCTGACTGATGGATCGGAGCACGTGCTAGACACTTTCTTGCCTAGTTGGGCCCTGTCACCACGTGAACAATATCAACAGGATGATGGCCTGGGGACCTCTTTCATTCCCTTCAGGCCACAGCTGAGGCACATGGGTGGAAGTCTGCCCCTATTCTGCCTATGTTATACCTACTGTGTGGATAAATTCAGGATTTTCTCAGTCTAGCACACCTTTAACCAGCATCAAATCAATCAGAGGAAAAAGGTCTTTTGAGTTTCCCTGCTCCCTTCACCTCCCTCTTCTCCACCTCTGAGCCACATGTCACCCGTCCCCGCCACGTCAGAGGAGCAGAGTCCTGACTCCTGTCCACACCCCTGCTCACCAGTCCTCTAGTGGAAAGTCTAGTTGTGTAGGTTTAAGATAGCATTAAGCCTTAAAGTTAGAACAGTTTCAGAGCAGTTATGACCGCATAACATTCCACATATATTTTTAAAAATGTTTTAAAAAAGGTGGTCTGTAACAGGCCCTTGACTATTGTCCAAGTTGAGATAACCATGGTTCTGCATGGCAACCCTGGGGCACTACCAGCGAGGAGTGGAAATTATGGGCACAGAGGATTTGAGCTTTTTAATAAAGTAAATCGAGTGCCAAAAGGCTTTTCAGGTCCTGTAGATAGTTTTGATCAGAGCAGTTCTCTTCTAGGCAGTGGCCCTAGAAGTGTGCCTTCCTAACAACTTTGGTTCTTGCTAACATGTGGTCTAGTTTCCCCAAGTTAATGAGCACCTGCAACTCCTATTTACTTAAAGCAACACTAAGTTCTAAAAAGTCTGCAAAAAAATGCTATGACAAGAGACAAAATATTGTTAGTCATTGACAATTGTTCCATTTACTTAATAGCTTCTTTGGCTCAAGCATGTATGATATAGCATATCCTGATGTTTTATAAAAATGCAGTAAAGAAAAATAAATGTCTAGCAGCACCACTGCAGTTTTGTTGGAGTGTTGTTGTAGCTGTGATGGTCCTGGAAATATACGAGAAGCAAGACTTTGTGATATCTTTTTGGAACCAGATGTATTAGACTATCATTGGTCTAATAAAAGTTAAAGAAAAAAATGCCTCTAGCAATGAAGGGATTCAATTACTCAAATATAAGAAGCCCCCAAATTTGTTTTAAAGAACCCTCATTAAGACAACAGTGCTATTGTTCAACCTGGAAAAGAAAAGCTATAAAGCAACTTCCAACACTAACTTACGGTAAAAGAAAAGTGAGAACACCGCTGTAATAACACAGGAAACCACATTGTTTTTGTGAGGGAGCAGGGAACAGACAACTAAATTGCAAGTGTGCACTGAATGTCTTCCTTCCCCACTAGACAATGATCTAAGGGACATTTACCATAGAATGCCTTGAAAATAGGATACTACTTATGAGGTAGTATCACCCACCCAAAATTGTGCCTGTACTTATTGACTCAGTCAAATCTCTAAATGAGACTAAATGCCAGAATTATTGTCCCAATTCTGGTAAATATTGGTTTTTATGACAGACCATGGCATCTGTGATGTCACATGAGTAATGCATTCTGGGATACCTTTCAATGACAAAGGATATGCCAAGAGTATTTTCAAAGAAAGAGAGACAAGGGTCATTGGAACATGCAACGTAAACGTTCCTTCCCGTTTCTCCAAGCAATGCCCTGCCAAGGCCATGAAGTACAGAATTTATGCTCTGAAAATACATTAACCTCTGCCTATGACTGAAAACCAGAACCACTTACTTTCATTTTCTTCCTGAATTTGCATATTAACCATGTCAATGCAGTTCTGTATATCATTCCAACTTAAATAATCTTGTCCTTGAGATGAAGCTTCTGACTTAATAGACAATAACGTGTCAGCATAACTATGGGAAGATATAAAATATATCAATATAAGTTCCCATAAAGAGTCAGTTAGATGCACTGTTCTTCATTGGTTATATTTTAAAATGTTTCTTATGGAATGAACTGAAGTCACATGAAAGTGAAAAACATGATTGCAAACATCTGCAGCCAGGCACAATGTGAGCAAAAACATGCAAGTTGCCTTAGCTCCACACGTGCATCTTCAGTTGTGCAATATTTTCATCATCTCATCCCAAGACACCTACCATACAGTTATGAACTGCACCTCATTAACATGTATATCTGCATTCCAAAAGAGATGTAGCCAAGGAAATACTAATTTTAATATCAACTGAAATATCTTAATATTTCAAAGAACTTAAATTGTAGCCTATGCTGAAGTGCATTTCATATCAGGTATGACAACTCTTCTCCCTCCCTTTTTTTTTTTTTTTTTTTTAAATGATCAAAAAAAAGTGGTTAAGTTGCAGCTAACCAATGTAAAACATTTCCATAGTTCCTCAAACCAAAGCACTTAATCCAACCATGAAATTATTTGATGTTGACTCTGAAACAGTTCACAGCAATACCAGAAGACAGCTTAGAACTAGAAGTGAATGCCACTTTACCTTCAGCCTGTGGCTGGTCAAAGAGAAAGCAATGGCCAGAGATGAGTATTCTGCCAAGACTAACCCCTCTAACTCTTGCCAGAGCCATTTCTAGCACATAAGATAACCCTCTCACTTGGGGCCCTACCTATGAGTCTCATTCTTCCACTCTGCATCCATTTACAAGTTTCTTCTCTCCTAGTCAGAACCTTAAAAATGGGAGAACAAAACCAAGGCTGCCAGTAAGGACTCCACACCATTCCTCCTAAAGGCTAGCAAGGAAGTAGAAGCTGAGAAAGTGGCATACCCAATCTGCTGCCTAACTACAAGCAGCAGTTTAACAGTTGCGAGGCAACATGTGATGGCAGCCCTGGCCATGAGGCAGAAAGCATTTCATTCTCTCTCAATAGTATGGCTCACAGAAAGGAGGCAGAGGACACCCTGCTTTTATGGGATTCCTGATCTCTAGTATATTACACAAAAATACTCATTTCAAAGATTCTCTCAGAGTTTCAGTAAGAGACTACTGATCAATAGGTTCCAAGCCAACTAGTTAGTTCAGATGCCTAGTGCCAAACAGCATACTTGTCAGGTCAAGTTTAATTTCTGAGAATATCTCCCTCCTTCTCCATATTCTTTACCTCTCAAACATTTAAGAGTGTTTTATTGTCCATGCTCCAACCGTTCAATCAATCTAGTTCAGTTGCTTTAACAGTTTATCCCGTCAATAAGTAGACTGCACAAGTGTTTACCTAGCAACCTTTCAGCTTCACCATCACTACAGACAGAAAATGTAACTGAATATATGCCCACTATATTCCCTTTGTAGAAGCTGCTTTTATTTGGACAAAAGAACTATGTATTTTTTACCGTTGAAGGTTTTCCTCCTCCAGGTTATTGAAGCCAATAGATGGGTATTCAAGATGAGTCTTTATTGCCAGGATGTCCTTGTTCTCCAAGGCCTGGTTTAGCAACACAACAGCTGACAACATATCTACAGCAATTGACAGTTCATCATGTGCCAGGTAATTCTGTAGGACAATACAACACCTCAGCCAGGAAGGTAAACCAGTGTTACTGACACAATCAAGTCAGAGCGCCATATAGATTTCCTTTAAAAATGAAGTGCAAGGAGGAATTCCTCAGTTACAGAAATATCAGTTTACTGTACTATAGGTGTTAAATGAGTTGGGATTGTGTAGGACAAAGAGCTGACTCAGAAGATCTATAACAAACTAACAATTAAAAATTATGAGACAAAGGTGACCTTTCATTTATAATCAGTACAATACTTTCCATACAAGGAAAGATGTATACTAGGACCTCAAAGGATAAGTAAAAGTGAATGTCTTATAACAAGAATTTAATCAGAGCCAAAGTCTGTCAAGAAAAACAATCTCTGGACAGACAAAACACTAAGGTATCCATCCCTACATGGTGACCAGGATGTGCCCCAGTCTGGACATTCCCAAGCATGTCCTGTGCACCTGGTCCCACTAGCACATTGCAAAGTTGGAAATACAACAGCAAGACATAAGAGTGGCCCCCTCTGGCTTCCCCGTTTCAAGAGCTCTGGTCTCCAGTATGCTCAGCAACATTCACCAAAATACACTCCAAAGCATCTTCACCCATGTATTTCCACATTTGGAGCCTGCGAGCAGGATCAGGGCTATGGCTCACGTCTGTCCTGGCTAGAACACACCATGGCTGCAAGGCAAACATGCACCAAGTATTTGCCTATCCACAGATTGGTTTACTTGGCAACCTCTACCCCTCTTAAAAAAAAACCAAACCTCTAGTCATAAAGCAAGTTGAATTTCACTTATGGAGCACTTAATTTGCCCCCATACAATCATGCGGTCAGAAAATATTTATGCAATACCCAGGACAGCAGTTAAATGGCCTGGTATTTTAATTATCCTAACATTTATCAAGTACCAAAAAGTGTGTTCATACACCAGTATTTGTGATTTTCATGGCTTGATTACATAACATGAAAGAGAACTGCACGAGCTTTTCACGCTTACCACAGCATTCTGTTGTTGAAGGTTGAACAGTTCAGCCTGATAGACAGCAGCAGCAAATGAGTGCACAACAGGTAACTGAGCCTCCGGTTTCATCAGTGCAACCAGTGTCTTACTAGGTTCACAATTACGAATCGCAGTATTGATATTGTCAACTGCTATAAGTTCTGGGAAATAGCAGGAAAAGCCCTATTAAATTTCTGCATGTCATAGGGTTTTTTAATATTATATAGACAATTAGGATATCCAAAATTTCATCACACACTGAAGACAAACTACAGATGTAACTTATTTATTTTTTTTAATTTATTTCTCTCTCTTAAGGAAAAAGAATTTTAGCTGCAGTAAATTAAGAATAACTGATCCATATTCTTCCAAAAAATAATTGCTATCCAAACTGGATATATCAAGTCCTTGACAAACTCCTGAAGTCAGCTTCTACAAGTTAAATTATGCTGACCTCCTTATCCTGAAGTTTGCCCTCACAAGCCCTGGTAAGGATAGGGATCTAATGGCATTTATTATGTTTGAACAATTAAGTGACACTTGAAGCATCAACTTAAACATCCAACTTTACTTTGCTCCAATATGGCATTTCCTTCTCTCTCATTTCTGTCACATCTATCATCATCTTCTGATGATCACATCCATCTCCCCTCCAACTCCACCTACTGCCCATTCTAGTTAAAAACCAAGTCAGCTAGCAATGACAAATTACCCTTTGAGTACCAATAGGACCAAAAGGAAAGCTATTTGCCAGGCTGCTCTCATGCTTCTAGAATTTTAAACAGCTATGCTTAAAGGGTGGGATGACATGCAGGCTGCATTTTTGCCACTTTTTTCCTATTTCCCTTTACCCTCCAACTCCCTTTTTCCTGAGTTAGTCTGAATTAGGACTAGACTTCAGCCACTTAAGTGTCACTACCTGAAACTAAACCTTAATTTTTACCCCAAATTCCTTCAATATGTAAAGCAAGAAAAACTATTAGAATTACATTAAATTATTATTTGCATCCTCTGCATCACTACAGGAATAGTATCCTTGTGGGTAGCTCAGAATTCACCTCCCATGTAACACATGCCTCATGGGTACAAATACACATCTAGATCAACAAAAGAGAAGACACTCAGGAACACTAGCTTTTACATTTTGCAGGCCAAAGAAATTGTACTTACTACAACTTCATCCTATTGGCATGAGACAGAGTGCTACAAGAGAAGCAGTCATCACAAACCTGGTTGATACCATCTTGAAGAAAGTTATCCGATCAGCGATTCTCAATATTTTTAGATTCAAGACACCCCTCAAACTCGAGGCATCCCTTGGAAAAATGCCAGCCCTTAGCTTCCACTTGTATTTTGACTACAGAAAATAAAATAATTCTTCTACTGAAAAGAATAAAAAAACACCACAACAGGCCAGAACATTTGTTACATTACGGGGTCCTATTTGAAATCCTTGGGCTTATCTTGTGAATTATAGTTGCACACCTAGAAGTGATAACACTGCATGACACCCCATGGTACCCCTGAAAGGATCTCAAAGCACATCAAGGTGCTGCAACACTGGTTGAGCATCACTGCTCTAGACAGCACCCAAGGAAATTGTACACAAATCATTTCAGCCTTATGGTTTTTTTTAAAATATATTTAAGACAAGGCTAAAATCCCAAGGGGGAAGGCTGTAAAGTCTACTTGACGTAGGACAGTGATGCTCAACCAGGGTGCAATGAGATAATTTCAAGGGTGCCATGCAATGTTAGCACTGGTAGATATGCAGACATAATTCAGAAGGCAAACCCAGAGGCTGCATCTGGACTAGTGTGGCTGTGCGGAACGTGGTGCCGCAGCCCCATCTGCAGTGCTACATACTGCTCATTCTGGTGTTTCCTGCACTGCTCCTCTGTAGCGTGTGGGGGAAGGGGTTTGATCCCAGGAGATCCCGGGGTCAAAACTACACGGAAAAAGTGGGGCACGTGGCTGCCCAAAGCCATGCTCTGGCTGCTGGCCAGGCTCCAAACTGCACAAGCGCCGCGGCTGCAGCTTCCTCAACCCCCAGGACTCCAGGTAAGGTTGCTGGCCTCAGCCTCCCCTACCTCACCCAGGATAATCTTTCGCACACTAGAGCGCATGTGGCACGGACATTCCCTGGGGACAAGCAGCAGCGGCACACCTTGTGCTGCTACTTTTTGTCCCAAGGGAACCAAACATCCGTGCTCATCTGAGCATGGCCAGAGGTTTCAACTAGGAATCCAGAGTATCATAAACATTGACCTGTTGTGATCTTTCCAAGCTCTTTGCAACAGAAAAAAAGAGTGTTTTTTCCATAGTTGAAAAAACTGAGAGCTGGAATTTTCCAAGGGGTGCCTTGAGTCTAATAAGGTTAAAACACACTGACTCAGAGGTATAGATAGAAAAAAAAAGAGTTGGGTAAGCAAGCATCCTAAGGCACTTGAGATGTCCTGCCAGAGTAAAATGGTGCTCAGCTACAGTACATTCCTCAAACTCACCCAACCTTACCTTGGGTGGGAAGGTTAGGAGACCAACATTAGCAAAGGGGAACATGCTACAAGACCATTTGAGGCTGCATGGGATAGCTATGAAAGCATTACATAAACGCAACCTATGTCAATGGCCAGCAGTTTTTCAAGCCGCAGCCTTGAACATCCTGGATCTAGTCCGATGCAGGCTGGGTGTCTTTGGTGATACATTCAGTGCTTGGGGGAAAACCTTCCCTGCACCTGCACCCATACCACTGCTGCTGCTCCCAGCCCTCCATACCCAACTTTGAATGCAAGTGCAGCTTCCAGCCAGCAGGGAGCTGTGCCAGGGCTGGAAAGCTGGAAGCTGTGTTCACACTACTGCTGCTCCCTCTTACCCCCTCTCTGAATCTCCCAGCTGTGGCACAGGTGCAACTGCAATCTGCCTGGCCCCAACATAGTTCCTCACTGGGTGGAATCTGTGCCCATGCTGCAGCTTTGGCCCGGGGGGGGGGGGGGGGGTGTAAGGAACAAAGGCAGACGAACAGGAACAGCCCTACCCTCTGGCTCCACAGGCCAAATGTTCCCAACTCCTGGTCTAAAGCAAGGGTGCCCAGGAAAAAAAATACCAGGGAGCTTCCTTTAGACTTTTTAATAGCAAGAATGGCAGCTTACACCACAGCAGAAGAACAGTTGGTACTTCAGGTAGGAAGGCTGCAGGGTTTTACAGAAACCATGACAAAAATCCAAAGATAGGAAGGCAGCCCCTGAAGACTGCAAAGAAAGAGAAAGAGAAGGCTGGGTAGGAGGAGGGGGAAACATCACTCTATCCTTCAGAAAGATTCAAGGAGATGAGAATTCCAGCAACTTCCTCAATATAAATGACACTGAAAATACATCTACAGAACATTAGGGGCTCATTTGACCAGGAACTTAAGCACCAGAACCCCTAGTTTCATAGATTGTAAAGTGGGAAGGGACCACAATGGATCATCGTGTCCAACCCCCTGCCCCTGGCAGGAAAGAGGACCAAGGTCAGATGACCCCAACCAGGTGACTATCTAGCCTCCTCTTGAAGACCTCCAAGTTAGGTGATAGCACCACCTCTCTTGGAAGCCCATTCCAGATCCTGGCCACCCTTACTGTGAAAAATTTCTTCCTAATATCTAACTTAAATCCACTCTCAACTAGTTTACACCCGTTATTCCTAGTCACTCCCTGGGGCACCTTAGTAAACAGCGCTTCCCCTATTTCCCGTTGACCTCCCCTAATAAATTTATAGACGGCCGCAAGATCTCCCCTCAGCCGTCTCTTGTGAAGGCTCAAGAGATTCAGCTCTCTCAACCTCCCCCCGTAGGGTCTATCAGGAAGGCCACTAACTATGCGAGTAGCCCTCCTCTGGACCCTCTCAAAATTCCCCGTGTCCCTCCTGAAGTGTGGCGCCCAAAACTGGACACAGTACTCCAACTGCGGCCTGACCAGTGCCGCATAGAGGGGGAGCATCACCTCCTTTGATCTATTAGTCATGCACCTGCTAATGCACAACAAGGTGCGACTGGCCTTGCTGATGGCCTTGTTATACTGCCGGCTCATGTTCATCTTGGAGTCAATTATGACTCCAAGATCCCTCTCTGCCTCCGAGCTGCTGAGAAGGACACTCCATAACCTATAGGTGTGCTGGGGGTTCCTCCTTCCCAGGTGGAGTACCTTACATTTATCTTTATTAAATTGCATCCTATTTCTCTCTGCCCATTGATCCAACCTGTCCAGGTCAGCCTGAATCTGCTCCCTGCCCTCCGCTGTACTAACTTTGCCCCATAACTTGGTATCATCAGCAAACTTGGAGAGGGTGCTCTCCATACTCTTCAAATGAGACTTGTGGTTAAAACTAGCTATTTGCTTAAGAATCCCTCCTGAAATCAGAGCTGATAGCCATTGGTAGGAGACAGGGCAGCCAGAGATGAGAAGCAATTCTGAATCCCTGATTTTAGTTAAACACACCCATCATATCTTAAATAACTTACATATGTGCTCTTATAGGGCAGGGTTATTAATGGCAATTAGTTCTTCAGAGCTGGTAAGGCACTTGCTTTAGAAGCAGAAGACTAAACCCAGCTCAGCAGTATGAATCATACAAAATGAGGGTTGAAAAAGGGACCTCAGGGCATCATCTAGTCCAACCCCCTGCTCAAAGCAGGATCATCCCCAACTCGATCATCCCAGCCAAGGCTTTGTCCAGTTGGGTCTTAAAAACCTCCAAGGATAGAGTCCACAACCTCTCTGTATAACTTGTTTTACTACGCTGTTAGGTAAGAAAATTCTTCCCAATATCTAACCTAAACTTCTCTTGCTGCAACTTGAGACCATTCCTCCTTGTTCTATCATCTGCCACCACTGAGAACAGTTTAGCTCCATCCTCTTTAGGCAGTTGAAGGCTGCTATTAAATTCTCTGTCTTCTCTTCTCCAGACTAAAGCCCAGTTCCCTCAACCTCTCCTCAGAAGTCATGCCCATCAACAACACCCCGCCGCGCGCACACACTATTTTCACTGCTCTCTACTGGACTCTCTCCAGCTTGTCCACATCCTTTCTACAGTGGGGGGCTCAAAACTGGACAGTACTCCAGATGTGGTGTCATCAGCACTGAATAGAGGGGAATAATAATTTCCCTTGACTTGCTGGCAATGCTCCTACCAATGCAGCCCAGTATACTGTTAGCCTTCTTGGCAACAAGGGCACATTATTGGCTCATATTCAGATTGCCCACCGTAAACCCCAGGTCCTTTTTTGCAGAGATGATGCCCAGCCAGTCAGCCTCCAGCCTATCATGGTGCATGGGATTATTTTATCCCAAGTGCAGGACTTTGCACTTGTCCTTGATGAACCTCATAAGATTTCTTTTTGGCCCAATCCTCCAGTTTGTCCACATCACTCTGAATCTTAGCCCTATCCTCCAGTGCATCTGCTACTCCCCTCAGTTTAGTGTCATCTGCAAACTTGCTGAGGGTGCAACTTTATGCCATCTTCCAGGTAGTTGATGAACACATTGAACAAAACCAGCAAAGGAGCAATCCCTGGGACACTCCATTTGATACCAGCTGCCAACTAGACATCAAGCCATTGATTATTACCCTCCAAGCCCGATGCTCCAACCAGTTTTCTATCCACTTTACGGACCATTCATCCAGCCTGTACTTCCTGAGCTTAACTGAGAGAATGCTGTGGGAGACAGTCTGGCCCCATGGACTTGTATTTGTCCAGCTTTTCTAAATAGTCCCTAACCTGTTTTCACCACTGATGGATGCTCACCTCCTCCCCAAACTGTGCGGCCATGTGCAATAGTCTGCAAGCTACCCTTGCCTGTAAAGACAGAGGTGAAAAAGGCATTGAGTACATCAGCCTTTTCTGCATCCTCTGTCGCCCCCATTCAGTAAGGGACCCACGCTTTAAAAATCTCTCTCTTGTTACTGACATAGTTGTAGAAACTGTTGTTGTCACCCTTCACATCCCTTGCTAGCTGCAACTCCAATTGTGCTTTGGTCTTCCAGACTCCATCCCTGCATGCTCGAGCAATGCTTTTATACTCCTCCCTAGTTGTTTTGTCCAAGTTTCCACTTCTTATAAAAGCTTCCTTTCTGTGATTTAGTTTACCAAAGAGATCCCTGCTAAGCCAAGCCCGTCTTCTGGCATATTTTGCTAGTCTTCCCGCACATGGGGATGGTTTGTTCTGCACTCTCAGTAAGGCTTCTTTAAAAGTACAGCCAACTGTTCTGGTCTCTACCCCCCCTCAGACTGGCTTCCCAGGGTATCCTGCCCAGTTTCCTGAGTGAGTCCAAGTCTGCTTTTCTGAAGTCCAGAGTCCTTACTCTGCTGCTCTCCTTACTTTTCCTCAGGATCCTGAACTCGGTCGTCTCATGGTCACTGCTGCCCAAGTTGCCATCCATTACTACATCCCCCAACAATTCTTTCTGGTTTGTGTGCAACAGGTCAAGAAGAGCACAGCTCCTAGTTGGCTGCTCCAGCACTTGTACCAGGAAGTTGTCCCCAACACTCTCCAAAAACTTCCAGGATTGCCTGTGCACTGCTGTATTGCCCTCCCAGCAGATGTCAAGGTGACTGAAGTCCCCCACGAGAACCAGGGCCTGTGATGGGGAAACTTCCGTTAACTGTTTGAAGAAAGCTTCATCATCCACCACTTAGTCCTGGTCTGGTGATCTATAGCAGACCTCCACCACAACATCACCCTTGTTGCTCTCTCCTCCGACCCTAACCAAGATGTCTCAGCAAGCTTATTTCCTGTTTCATACTGGAGCTCTGAGCAATCATATGGCTCTTTTACATAAAGTTCAACTCCTCCTCTTCTCCCCTAGCTGTCCTTCCTGAACAGTTTATACACATCCACGACAGTTTTCCAGTCCTACGAGCTATCTCACCAAGTCTGTTAATCTGATCACATCATAGTTCCATGACTGTGCAAGAAATTCCAATTCTTCCTACTTGTTTCCCAGGCTCCTTGCATTCATGTACAGACACCTACGGTAACTAGGTGATAGCTCTGATTTCTCAGAAAGAATGAGAACACCTCCCCTGTTGTCCCCTCCTGATTGCTCTTCCTGCACATCACCCACTTTTCCACTTACCTCACGGCTTTGGTTTCCATCCCCCCAGTGCATTTCTCTCATTTGAATTCTTCCTTTTAAGAGGAAAAAATCTATTTTTCTTGCTTCAAACCAACTAACAGAGTGACCAGTGGCTGGACAGATTTAGCTCTGGCCTTCTTACTGACCTATTATTCAGCAAGTCTAAGATGACAGTGTTACAGCATAATACTGCATCCACTGTAAGTGCCTTTTAAATTCAGCAATGTGGTTTTCATCATCAACATCTTCCTGCTACTAATCAGGTCTCCCCTATATCCAGGTCTGTGACCAAGTCACTTGTTTAATTAGGACTATAACTCCACTCAATAGCAGCTTTTGTACATGCCATTCAGGCAGCAAAGATATGATGGAGCTCCTCACGGTACAGCAGACACTTTCCAGTTGATCAGGTACTTTCAGAGCAGTCCAAACCCATGGAGTCCAAGTACATTTACCCCTGTGGACCAAGTCTAAGTCTTGTGCCTACTCTTGAAATTAAAACAAGAAAGAAAAAGAAAGGAAAGTCTCCTAAAACTGCAGCACACAAAGTAACCATAAAACAAACAAACAAAAAAACCCAACAAATCTCCCTGGAGCTAGTAACAGTAACTAAAGCCTTCACTGAGGCTACATGCCATTACATGGCTTGGCCAAATTCCAGGTGAGGAATCAGGCACCCAGTATTCTGTCTGTAGTACACAAAGATTTACCAACCATCTTAGGCATTAAGATGCAACATGGAGAGGTACCTACATGCTTGGTCTGTATCTTGGTCAACTTGTTACAACTCTAAAAATACTTGAAGAGGTACTACTCAGTCAGCCGAGTTAAATTTCAAGTTTTGCATCTGTCAGGTTCCCTCCCCCCACTTCCAACCTCATTCCCTCCCTCCTAAAAAGTTGATAATTACAAAAGGTAGAAATTGGTCAACTTAAATAACTAAAAGCACACAAAAGTCACTTAGGTTGCAAGGTACACGGAAAACAACATCCTTCCAACCCTAAGGAGACACTGATGATCCCATACAATTAGTGCAACCCGTCTAAGAATTTTGTGTTGCCAAAAAGCAACTCTCCTTGAAGGAAATAATGTTCATCATATTTTGATCACTCTAAAATCAAATTTTCTAAGACTAGAAAGACAACAAACATACATAGGTATATATACACACACACACACAACATGGCCCAGTTTGCTTTCCTACCACATTTTTGCATAACATCAGAAGAGCTGTTCAACTGAACTGAAAGACATTAAAGAGTGAGGGAACAGAAAAAGCCCCGCCACTAAGCCATGCCACAGACAGCATGCAAGTACAGCAGTTTATCCAGAGCTGGAGTTCCTAGTGCATATGTTATCAGGCAAGGCAAGCCAGAGAAGCTAACACATGCACTACTGTAAATTTAGAGCCCCCTTTTAATACAATTTTTTCAAAAATATGCATCAGTGGTTGTTGGTTTATCTGCTGTACCTTTACATTAAGTGTCTCAGAACAGGCTAGAATGAAGAAAAGGTGTCAAAAATGCAAAATAACCTGCTTTCTTCTCCTATAAAAAAAATGTAAAATATTCTTCAATTTGATCATTTTGTTAACTCAGACAAAATATCAACAGTTTCCACTTGGGAGAGTTTAGGTATTAGTCAAGCCTTCCAAGCCATGCACTGTGTTCAGTTTTAGCCAGTGTGTCCACTAGTAGCCAACAGTTATTCAAAGAGAAAAGTGTTAACTACCTTAGATAAAAGAATACATCCAACGCAGCACAGATTGGTGACTTGGCAATTGTGACACTGAGAAGAACAGTAACAAAAATAAAATGCAATGCATGTGGTTTCAGTGTATAAAAGAAACCATGTTTGCATGCAAGGAAAGGTGGATCTAACTCTTCAGCTTGATTAAAGGTAAAGTGGTGAAGGTGAAAATGAGATTAAAACATTTACTCACTAAGCTTGTGAGCCTCAGCCTCCACATTGGCCACACTAACGTCTTTCTGTATTTCACTTTTGTCGAGCATAATTGGAACCCCTGCTATCTGACAGATCAGAAAAAAAAGCATAATGAAGTATTTTTAAAAACTTGAGGAAGGAGAGGAAGAAACTCCATTATGATACACACCAGGAATCTACCATGCTGTTTTCTATGTACATAACAGAGCAGTACATTCAAAAACAGTGCTAATTTTTTTCCTGTGGACTTCCCCATTATTTTAAAAATTAGTTGCCCTCTTAAGCAGAGAGGTACTTCCTAATGGTCTTCATTCACCATTATTTCATATTAGTATTTTTATACTACAATTTTCAAGAAGCTTAACTTCCAAGAGAACATTATTAGGAAGTGAACTCCGTCTATACAAAGAATTCCTTTCAACTCATTTAGAACTTCACACTAATGCATCATGCACTTTACAGTGGATGCAAGTAGTTTTGTAGTGCTCAGGAAAATATAAACCTGAAATCTTTTGTAAAATCCTATTTCACAAAAATCATGCGGATCAGGGTGAAACCAAACTAAGGCATCATGCAAACATGTTCCATTCAGTTACCTGCATTCTCTGTTCTTTAGAATCACACAATTGGACTAGGTACCATGAGGAATTTTGCAGCAGAACTTCAAGTAAGCTCAAAGCAGGGTGGTTCAAACCTGCCATCAGTGCCATTTCATCTTGCCTGTCAATAGCCTCATTCACTTGGACTAAAGCCATGTGAACTGAAAGGAAAACAATGCTTACAAACAGCACACATTTTTGCTAAAAAAAATTCCATTGCTGATGGCATCTACCTCTCTAAACCAAGGCACTTAATAGCAGTCTTTATCCAAAGGACTGTACCTTAAAGCACCAGTCCTTCCAAGAGCCTTGGACAGAGTCCCCACAGACTTTTCAAGGACACAGGCTTAAGCCTGAATTTGCAGTCCATCTAGAAGAGGGTTCAAAATTTACAGTATTCTGAAGCCAGCAAGAACTGACAGAGAAACAGAGCAGGTGAAACCATGGCTTCTGCGTTAAGAAGTCCTAACAGCAAAGATATCACCTGAAAAGACTGGTGATAAAAGCAGCAAGACATTGCAGTCTAAAGCAACTGCTGTAATACTGACAAAATGTTTGCTTTTTTAATTTTGCCTTATTTTTATTTAATCGTATTTCTGTAAAATTAAGTCTGGCCAGCTGAAATTTGGACAAAAAAGTCATCTATAGTTTGTAGATACCATATGCATGCTTCCATATAAAACCAGAATTCAACTTACTGTTGATCTTGTTGATATTGCCTTGGATCTCTGCTTGTGTGAGCAGTTCTTCATACACATCTCTTTCTTCTTCTGAAATTGTGCCATTCTAAAAGAACAAAAACTTTACCAGTTCAAAGATTTATTAGTTCCACATATAAGAGCTGTTAAAAATTGTCAACCAAAATATGAAGGCTTAAACTGTGGACCCAGTTGTGCTATATTTAAGCATCATCTACTTTCTGAGAAGAACTTTGTAGTTAGTGCTGCATAGCTTCAAATATAGAAAACAAGATTTATTCTGTTACTGTAAAATGATGCATCAGTAATTTGTATTCAGTTAAGTCTGTTTACTTAATTGATTTTACATCCACAGAATTTTTAATTCAACTTTTAGTTGATACTAAATGTAGTCTGGTTTCTACAGAGCAAGTTGTAAAATAGAAAAATAATGGGGATCCTGTATATTCTCAGTCAAAGTCTGCATTTGAGAGGGAAAAATAGAAATCATGTGTTATGTGCAAAAATACATAGAACTTGTATGCCGTTATGCTTCTATTAACATAGGTCTTCAGCTTGTATTTTTTACTATAAGAGTAATTCACCTAATTAGCTTAGCAGCGGTTTATAAGCACAATCCTAGAACCATTTAAAATGCTCTGTATAACCAAATGATCAAGCATATGCAAAATTCACGGATGCTAACTGATCTAAATATGTTTGCATACCTTCAATCTTGCATTTTCCTCTTTTCTCTTTTTAGCTTCCAGGAGTTCTGTCTGATATTGCTGTGCAAGTTCTTCATCCACATTTAGCAACATTGCATTTGGATTCCTAAGAGTTATGATGGTTTGATCTGCTACTCCCTTCTCAATAGCTTCATTAATTGCAATTACTGCAGCATGCACTGAAAAGGAATGATAGGAGTTAAACTCTGAGAAGTGACGAAGTAGTACTTCTGGATCAAGCCCGTATATTTTTAAAAAGCAGGGAACGGAGATGGAAAGGAGTTTATTACTTGATGAGGAGTTTTATGATGTAGCAATACATCATAGCCACTGGTGGGAATATTTGAAAGCTCGTGGCGCATGGGCCAAGTCCCGGAGGACTGGAAAAGGGCCAACGTGGTCCCCATTTTCAAAACGGGGAGGAAGGAGGACCCGGGCAACTATAGGCCAGTCAGTCTCACCTCCATCCTTGGCAAAGTCTTTGAAAAAATTATCAAGGCTCACATTTGTGAGAGCCCGGCAGGACAAATTATGGATGAGGGGAAACCAGCACAGGTTCGTGGCAGGCAGATCGTGCCTGATCAATCTAGTTTCTTTTTATGACCAGGTTACGAAACGCCTGGACACAAGAGGAGGGGTGGATGTCGTATACTTGGACTTCAGGAAGGCCTTCGATACGGTATCCCACCCCATACTGGTGAACAAGTTAAGAGGCTGTGACTTGGATGACTACACAGTCCGGTGGGTGGCGAATTGGCTGGAGGGTCGCACCCAGAGAGTCGTGGTGGATGGGTCGGTTTCGACCTGGAAGGGTGTGGGAAGTGGGGTCCCACAGGGTTCGGTCCTTGGACCGATACTCTTTAATGTCTTCATCAGTGACTCGGACAAGGGAGTGAAATGTACTCTGTCCAAGTTTGCAGATGACACAAAGCTATAGGGAGAAGTGGACATGCCGGAGGGCAGGGAACAGCTGCAAGCAGATCTGGACAGGTTGGACAAGTGGGCAGAAAACAACAGAATGCAGTTCAACAAGGAGAAATGCAAAGTGCTGCACCTAGGGAGGAAAAATGTCCAGCACACCTACAGCCTAGGGAATGACCTGCTGGGTGACACGGAAGTGGAAAGGGATCTTGGAGTCCTAGTGGACTCCAAGATGAACATGAGTCGGCAGTGTGACGAAGCCATCAAAAAAGCCAATGGCACTTTATCGTGCATCAGCAGATGCATGACGAATAAATCCAAGGAGGTGATACTTCCTCTCTATCGGGCGCTGGTCAGACCGCAGTTGGAGTACTGCGTGCAATTCTGGGCGCCGCACTTCAAGAGGGATGCGGATAACCTGGAGAGGGTCCAGAGAAGGGCCACTCATATGGTTAAGGGCCTACAGACCAAGCCCTACGAGGAGAGACTAGAGAAACTGGACCTTTTCAGCCTCCGCAAGAGAAGGTTGAGAGGCGACCTTGTGGCTGCCTATAAGTTCATCACGGGGGCACAGAAGGGAATTGGTGAGTATTTATTCACCAAGGCGCCCCCGGGGGTTACAAGAAATAATGGCCACAAGCTAGCAGTCTTTCCTGCTTATGCAGGGGGTCGGACTCGATGATCTATTGAGGTCCCTTCCGACCCTAACATCTATGAATCTATGAATAGTCGCATGACAATATTTACATTTTCAAAGGTTTAAGAATGGTTTTGTTTTCCAGTTTTAAAAGGAGAAGCTGCACTTAAAACCTCCAAACCAGAAAAGTTAAAATCTTACACATTTTTCTCCTTCTTGAAAAAGGTGTGTAATTAATTACTGAAGGGAAAAATTGAGAGGTCCAGTTTTCATCTTTCAGTTCTTTGCACCTAGCCTGGTCAAATCATTGAAAACACTTAAGCATAAGGACTGGGAGAACTAGGGTAGCAATGTTTAAAATGAATATTCAAAAGGAAAAAAAGGAGAATTAAGAATTTCACTTTTCTACACATTTTGTGTCTGTAGAGCCAATTACAGCCACACATTAGCATGAACAGCAAAAGTCAGGATGCCCTATGATCCACCAGGAGTTGCTCCCAATCCAAATTCGTCTCAATTCTCTCACATGGCACAGAGAACAAAGGTGCAATCTTGAGTAAAATCCATTACATTCGGCTATTTCCACTGTAGATTTTTTGTTTAAAGAGACATTTACTTTTGCTATTTTACAAGTAAATGATTACATACATAACAAATGTTCACTTAGAAGAGAAACAGAGGACGCGTTTTAAATGAACATCTGTTGATTACATATATGCAATCATTTAAAATATTTGCTTTAACACATTCACTCTTGCTTCTTTATCTAAATACTGTCACAAACAGACAAAATATTTACTAAGATGTAGCTTTGCTAACAACTTTTCCCCGTCAAAAATCTCACAACCTTCTCCCAGTACATTTCCAGAAAGCATTTATGAATAAGAATGTTACTTTACTGTCAAGGAATCAAGAACAGCTTAATTTTGTTATTGAAAACTTCTGTTATGGATAAATGCATTTGACAATGCAAGTAGGGAGGGATTTTTGGGTGGTGGGGAAAGAGAGGTGCAGAACTTCTTTGGCAGGGCTTTTTGTCATGTATGGACATTATAGCTGCACCAAGGACAGTGGCCTTGCACTATATTTCTCAGAAAGGCTACACAGAAGCATGAACAAATGGAGCAGTAGCTCCACAGGACAAAGTTCCACTTGAATGGAAGGCACTACCCAAACGCAAGGCACAAACCCCAGATGGGAAAGCAAGGATAGCAAGCCTAAATTCTGATGACAAAGTTCCCCTGCCTTATTTCTCAATGGCAGCTTCTCTCCAGCAAGTGGAAGAAAAGAGTCGATACAAGCAAAAAAAAAGGCTAGTGTGTTTTTCCTTCTGCGAGAAGGAATGAGAGGACTTCCAAACAGGATGTTCTCTCTCCTGAGAAGTTTTCTAGCACCAGTCTAAGCACATGAACACTACTCAGGGTCCTAAAGACTCCCAGTATCTCACAGCCCTCTGCTCCCCCTCTGGCTCCCAAATGGACCACTTATCAGTGAGCTGTTAGGGAGCCCTGCAGGGCACCTTCTTGTACAATTCCCAAGACCTCTGATGTGGCAAAGAATTCCTGCTGCTGCCTGAACAGTCTGAGATTGTTCATATAGCTATCCCAATGTCCCCTCCCCAGCACTGAACAGTCCCAGGTCAGCCTAGGTCTGTGCGAGGGGAGCATTCTTTGCAGCTCAACCTATCCTGGGGATCTCTAGGATGATTCAAGCCATACTGCCTCACACTCCCAGGGCTGTGCAAGGGATGAAGGGGCATTCCCCTGCAGCTTGGTCTGTCCTGGGTGACCTCATGGAGAAGCAGCCAGGGTGATTATGTGTAGTTACCCAAAGTGTGCTTGGAGCACCTGAGGCTAGAGGGCCCAGAGTAGCCAATAGCCACATGGTAAAGCGGCAGAAATCGTGAATACACAGCGTGAGAGTCTGGGGGACCAACACGTGTGTGCATGTGCAGGGTAAGGGTCTGGGGGATTCGAGATCTGTGGTGCAAGGGGTGCTGCAGCAATTACTGGCTGCATACAAGTCTGCTTATGCTCTGGCACCCTCTCTTAGATAAGTATTGATTTGTGGTATTGTTGTTTATACTGGATTGGTATCGGATTGTTGCAGTTGTTTAAATATAATGGTTGTTACCCTCCATCACATATCTGTCAGTCATTTACTAATTAATTATATTGCATTAGGTTACAGCTGGGCTGTAACCTAATGTCTTAATGAGAGTTGAGGTGCCTACCATTCTTTCATTTGGCTGATGTCTAGGAGGATTAAGAAGGGTTTTTGAACCCCAAAGCTTGCTTAATAACTGTTCTCCAACCATTTGGGTTGGTCTAATAAAAGATATCAAATTCACACAAGGAACCTTGCTGCCTAGGAGGATTAACACCCTCACTTGAATAATTAGAGATTGCCATTCAACACTCTGAAGTCTATAAAGATGTAAAATAATGTTAAATGGTAAAAGGGGAGTCTTATTAATGAGTCAGATATGCACAAGTTAATAAAACAAAATGCACAAAATGGTTCAGTGGAATATGAAGTTTCATCTGGAAGATGAAATTAAAATAAAGGCTGAATAACTGAAAAACACAATAGCATGATGTGATCATTTGTGAATTTGTCTACCAGTGGAAAGACGCGTTAGAAACCCCAGTGGGACATTTAGAACAAGTCTGAACAACTACTAGGGAAAAAAAAAAAAAAAGTCTCCCTTAGAGCATAAACCCTGGGCTGACAGGAGACAAAAAAATTGGTATTGGTATTGATAGATGTAACAATGATACGAAAACAAAATTATACTGATCTAAGCCATAGCCCTGTAACTTTTGTCTGAACACTTCTATAACTGTACAAATATAGCTACAGTATATCATTGCTACTTCAATGTCAAATGGAACAGGAGTTAAAGTTTCATTCAGGATTACAGAGTTGCAGCATTTTAGCTAACTGGTATGACTACAGCACCATGTGATGTAACAGCGCTTAACAGCTAGTGCGTACTCCTTTCAAATTTCCTAACAGGCATGTTTTTCCATAGCCTTAAATGTATTTTTCAATCTGCTGAGAGCAACAGGGTTCCTCTGCATTTATGTCCAGGATATGAAAAAGCACCCTCTTGAGGTCCTTTCTAGCCCTATTTTTCTATTAAATCATTTAATGTGTCCTTTTTTGCAGGCTTTATTTTGTGGTGGTACACTACATGTGCATGCTCTCTTCCTCAAAAAACTTAGTTTGCCTCCTCCCCGGAATCTGCTACCACCCGAAGTATGTGACAAGATTCCCATGATGCAACAGGCACTTCCTCTTCTGGGGAAGAGC